AAATTGAATTCAAATATCATTGAATGGTTGAGCTACACATTTTTAGATGAGGATATATAACAACAACAATGAGAAAAAAAAGGAGTAAATTTTACAAAGAGAAGAATTTAAACAGAGATTAATATATATATATATATATATATATATATATATATATATATATATGTTGTTTATCAATCATAAATATTTCTTGCTATAATCAATAATAATATAAGGTGAAGAGATTAAAACCAATTGTTAGAATGATTTAAAACTATGAACTAATCAATAGATTGTGCTAAGATTATTATTATACATTTATAGGTTGGCAAAAAAAAAAGAATTTCATATCATTTTCTTCATTATAGAGTTATGAAGATTGTTGTTTACTATTGAAATCATGAATTGATAAGTTCATCACTTAGTATGCTTGAGGCTATTACGAGTTTACCTTAGTCGATAAACGCGAACGAGACAATAAACCAGCGTCCAGGTAGGCTACCTTGAATCCGAGGCTGAAGGGAAAAGGCTTTGTAAGCGGAGAAAGTATATTCTACAAACACCAAGCAATCACACAATACAATCAAGCATACAACTCTCGTTTATTTATACAACATAGAAACGTCCTTGAGACAGTTAAGAAAATAGCACACTAAAATACACAGCAGCCAATCACAGCCATAGATTTTGCTGACGGGAATTGAAATCTCAAGGTCAACTGATCAGCCCATGCTGGCAAACGTGGAAACCAAAATAAGGCATTATCAATCGAATTTTGGGGATCTAACATCCCCAACATGAATCAAATGTGCTCACTAGAGATGAAGTTCGTGAGGAAATTGTTTGAGGTTCTAGTGAGAAGATGTGGTGATCAACGGAGCTCAACTCTATCGGGTGTAAGCAGTAACTACCGAAAGCAATGGATGAGGTTGTATAAAACCTTAGAAATTCACACTGAAGAGGTTAAGCGTTGGAGTGTGAAACTGTAGGTCTTAGGTTCGATTCACACGAACGTAGGTTGTGGATTCACTCTAATGATTACTCTCATACTAAGACAAAACGACTATCCAGTACTTCAGGGGTTTCTAATGTTAATCGAACAGTGATTAATTCATTAATTTATATCCTTGTTACGGAAGTTAGTGTGATGATAATAACGATGTTTAGTTGGATTATAAAAATTTTTGATGTTAAATCGTTGAAATGAATTGACAAACATTTTTTTTTTGAACTTAAACGCTTATTTTAATTATTTTTTTTCTTCAACAGAATATTTATTATCTCAAACATTGATTGTTAGACATTTGATGTATAATAAGAAGTAGTAGAAACCTTTGAACTCTCTCTCTCTATTATTGAATTTGTGGTATTTCGTTTAATTACCTATTATTTTATAAATCTGTTCAGTTTAATGAAACAGTTTTGGTTAATAAATTTATATATGACTAGATTCATCAAGGACTCATTAAGAATTCATTATAATTTTTAATGTAACCCGATTAGAAATGAACAATGACATTTATTAAAAATATTGTACATATATATATATATATATATATATATATATCACAAACAAAACTTAACAATAACAAGTGAAAGTGTAAGTTTTGATATTTTCTAGTTATGAGCTCAATTTATTGTTAGGTTATTAGAGCAGTAATGATGTGAAGTTTTAACTTAGTTCTCACTTACGTTTGTTACCCCTGATGGAGTATAGACTGCCGACTACCATTCTCCAACTTACTCAGTCCTAGGCCTTGCTTTCCAGTTCCATCTAATTGCTGTTTATTCTTTTCATTTCTGTCTCCAATACCCGGCGTAAAGTGTTCGTTGTAATTCCTCTTCTCCTTTGACCTTGAGGATTAGAAGAGATGTCTTGTCTTGTGACTCAGTTGAGTGCTCTCCTAAATGTGTGTCCTATCCACCTCCAACGCTTCTTCCTGATTTGTTCTCTCTCACAGTTGGTTGTTTCCGAAGGTATCTGGATAGCTGGTCCGAGGTATTTTGCGTAGACAACTGTTAATAAACACTTGTAGCTTCAGGATGGTGGGATTCATGGTTCTCCAAGTTTTCGGCTCATACAGTAGAACTGACTTGACGTTCGTATTAAAAATTGTAACTTTAGTATTTGTTGATAGTTGTTTCGAGTTCTAGATGTTGTTCAGTTATAGAAATGCAGCCCTTGTTTTGCCGATCCGCACCTTGACATCTGCATCAGATACACCTTACTCATCAATGATACAGCCCAGATATGTAGATGTTTTGCATCCCTCCAAGCTTCTCCGTCAAGTGTACTTTGGTTAGGGTAACAGACATAAGTAGAAGTGGGTGTGATTAACCGGGATAGTAAATGATAAACTAATTACGAATTAGGGACAGTAAATAGTATGATCTTAGTTTATGGGTTAATGAAAAACGTTAAAGGAGAATATAATCTAATCCTGATAATTTATTAACTTAATAATTATGCAATAAGACTGTATTATATTACTAAGTAGACCTATAATATCAGTAGTCAATGGCAGTAGATAAATTTTTCAACATGAAAGTATCAGTATGCAGAAATAAAATCATTTTAAAAATGCGAAGTTCAGAGTAATGAATTCATATAATTGAATCATATTTCTCTGTCACCTCCAACCACTGGTTATGACGATCATAAGGACTCCAACGAGGTAAGAATACACATGAAGGAATTGAGTTTCTCATTGAGTTCATTTTATATCTCGGCTATACGTCGTTATCTTTTTAACGACACAAAACGATTGAAATTCTTTCTCAGTGATTAAGTGTAGGTGCATTTTATATGCCTAATAAAAATATTATTTCACTTTCAGATTATCGGTACACAGTGCTACTAACAATCCACTAGCTTATAAGATGACCTATGAAGTGAGACGAAAAACCAACCAAAAGCTGAATATTACATAGTTGCCTCGAACTTGACCATCACTAACGGATACAGTAGGCTCGATTGGCTTTGGTCAACTTGTGACGTAGGAGAGATACCCGTCTACTGTGCAGCAGTTCGCTCCATCTTACTTTATGGCTATGAAACATGACCAGTAAGAGTAGAGGATATTCGTAAGCTATTACTATTCGATCATAGGTGTCTTCGAAGCATTACTCGTATATCATAAGACCACCAATTAGGCAATACTATTGTTATGAAAAGGTTACTAGGTAAGGATGGCAGATTAATGAATGACGTATTGAAACTTCATCAGCTAAAATGGGAGTTCAGGTGCATCCATACTTTGCATTCTCTCAAATTCTAATCTGAATTCCTTATGAACGTTTTTTCGCTTCTTTTTTAATATTTCAAATTGATTCCTCTGGATCATACTTCTTGAATAATATCTTCGATCATTAATGTTTTTGATTACCGCCAATATTTCTACTACATCTACTAATAAGGGATTTGAATTGACAATTCTTCATGTCTGTGCCTAATGTGGTTGTATGGCAACTTGGACTGATATACGTCGTAGCTTACCAACTGATCATTACTAATACCACCAGTTGGAATCTTTCAATTTGGCATTATCATTATTTTCAGTTAGAGCTTTGGAGATTTGTGTTTTTTACACATTTGAAATCACCAATCAATCATTGTTAGACCACCATTAGAAACCTGGAAGCACTGGGCGGCCGTTTCGTCCTGGTATGAGACTCATCAGCAGTGCGCATCCACGACTCATGGATGCCGGCCCGGTGGTTAGGCGTTTGCGCACAATGCCGAAGGTCACGGGTTCGAATCCTGCGAGGTGCATGAGTCCTGGATGCGCACTGCTGATGAGTCCCATACCAGGACAAAACGGCCGTCCAGTGCTTCCAGGTTTCTAATCGTGGTCTACCAATGATTGATCGATGGTTCCAAATTATTATTATTATTATTGTGTAACACTTTGTGTTCAATGAAACACAATAAAATCTAACTAACAATTTAACAATTAATTCAAAACATGACCTCTAATCATGATAAAATTGTCAAATAATAATTTCGCATCAAAATGATTTTTTATTTAACAAATGGATATCATAATTCATGATGTGTATTGATATTAATGATTATCGTACCAGGGGTCAATTGAATTTTGAATTGCAGAACTACTACTACTACTACAACTACTACTACTGATGACGACGACGAACAAGCGAACAAACATTTGATGTTAGTTTTTGAAAGAATTAAAAAACAAACAAACACTCAACTTTTGGCAACAGTAGTAGTAGTAGTAGTATTTTTATTTATTGATATCAGTAGTATTGTCAATAAGGCGTAAAATTCTGTCGGTTGTTTTTTTTGCTTCTCTCTGTTGTTTGGAGAAAACAAAAAAAACGAACTCTGTTACAAAAAAAAAATAAAATAAAATTGAAAATTGAAATTAAAACAAATTGTACATGCCAAGAAGAAGAAGCAGAAGAAGAAACGTAAAAAAACCCAACGATACGGAGTAGTAGGAGTAGGAGGAAGAAGAAAGGCGAATGAACAATGTTAGAAAAAACCATGAAAATGATAAAAATCGAACAGTAAAGTAGTAGTAGTATTAGTAGTAGTAGTAGTAGTATCCCCAATGGTAAAAGATGAAAAAATTTAATGAATACTTTTATACAATTCATGAGTATACATACAAATGATTCGATTCCTGAAGGAATAATTAAAAACAATTTAGAATAAAATGTATGCAGGCGTATGCAGGTCAAAACATTTTATCAATGAATCATTGTTCGTTCATTCAAACAAAATATATAAGCAAGGCATAAGAGTTCTATTCTATTAGTCAATTGTTGAAAATACTTTTTAATAAAAAATACTGTCATGTAAAATGGTTCACAACCACTACTACTACTACTACTAACTATTCAAACAAATCATATTCACTACAGATTCAATCAATGTACACATAAAATTGTGTCAATAGAGAAAGGAAAGAAGGTGAAAACAAATTTTTTTTTAAAAGAAAAAATGCAAATACAATCATACATACATACATACATACATATTTATAGTACACTGTCAGGTAATCATTGACTGTGTTTAATTCAATCTTCAATATAATACCAATAATAATAATAATAATAATAATAATAATAATAATAATAACTACATTTCATAAAGAACAAGTGAATTATAAATACAAAATAACTGAATCAATCATTTGGCAAATATTACCAACTATTGTTGTTATGATTATTATTCCCTCCAACTGCAGTGTACAAACTCCACTACTGAATTGATTGTCGATAAACAAGAGAGTAACGCTACCATACAATTAATTGGTTTAGTAAGTATTATTATCGTTACTAATCAATTTTGACATGATTAGAAGTATTGGTCAGTGAATTAGAGGATAATGGGGACGATGATGATGGTGATGATGATGAAGGCATTGTACTACTTGTTTGTAATGTAATAATATCATCATTTGATATGGTCACTTGATGATGTGATTTATTATCCATGTGATTGAGATTCTATAAATTGATTTTTTTTTATTATTTTTTTATTTTTAGAAAGCAGAAAAGAGATAGATGATAACAAAAGAGATAATGAAAATATAAAGTCAGCAAGAATATTTATTATACTTTTTTTTTTATCAATACAATGATAATTGAAATAGATCTAAATGATGATGCTTATTATTTCTGTCTAATTGAAGTTGATTTGAATTTTATCAGATAAATAGATAGATTTTTAAATGACTGCATTGATCAGTTTAAAAAAAAAATCCCATGATCTGACTTTAATTCGGACGAATAATCGAATATATGCAATGAAATAAATCATCTTCCCTTACATAACCGTATAATGAGTGCTGTTAGTGCGACGACGTTGGTAACAAGAAGTTAAATATTGGATTCGGTTGGATGAGTTTATTTCATACAATCTTCCACACACAGACAAACATGGGAATACAAAGAGTAAAAGCAAAGCGAAGCGAAGTGCGGAAGGCGAATGAGCCATAACAGAGTACTCATAGTCAGATGATTATAATAAGTTAGACTTGTGATGAATGGAGAAGGCAGTGCACACACACACACATACACTTATATAAAAACAATAAGTGACAAGGTCGAAAGACATGTGAGTAGTAATTCGAGCAGAAAAGGTTGATTAGCTTGTCCGAAGTCTGGGACAAACCATGTGGGCTCAACATTACAGTATACATATTACAAGAAAAACGTTGCTCTTAAATTCTTAAGTCGTTCATTCATTGATAGCCTCTCATTACGACCACTGTAAGAAGGTAGTATTCATTTAACATGCTAGTTATTCGTGAAGGACAGTTTACTGTTGCACTATTTTATTACATTTGGCAGCAGAGTATGATATGTAAATGGTAAACTTATTCATTTCAATTTGACTATCATACAGTTAGTTCACTTAAGGGCGTACGCAAGATATTCATCTTTTAAGCAAAAGAACAAATTTTCTGTGCAGAACCTTATTCAGTTCTATTTTGTAGTTGTGAAATATAGCGATTAAAAGTAGAGGAAATCCGTGGTTTACTAGTATTCAACCATAGGCATCATCGAATGTTTTGTGGCCATCAAGTTAGAAATGCCTGTATTAGGAATAGGGTACTAGGTAAGGATGGGAAATCGATTGGTGAGACAGTACACCTTCAACAGCTGAAATTGGTTAGGACGTGAGTTACGTGTGCCCTACCTGCCTCGACGAGCGATTTTATCAAGTGTAGGAGTACGCTAGACGCTAGGAACTATCAAATCAACACAGCGTCCGTCCACAAGAATGTGGTGGCCAAATATCTGCGTGTTCTAAAGCTCGGTAATTAGCTCGTCTAGACAATTGTTACAAAGTAGCGTCTGACGGTTATAAATCAGAAGATGAATTCGAAGTAATGAATGCGTTTATTTTTGGACACACCATAAAGCGAAGTTGAAAAGCAGCGAGCGAACAAAGCTTACGAAACGACGTGAATTGGAGAAGGCTAATGAGCCAACTCAAAGAGATAGAGCATGACTAAGAATATATAGTCAAACAAATATAAGACAGACATGAAACAAGTGAAATAGGTCAAATGACACGTCATATGAGCTCATACAAACCAGACAATAATAAGAACGAATGGTACAGATAAATTGTTTCAATACAAATGGCTTGGTCAAATAAATTAATCGAAAGGGCTTAACCAAGTTAAATGTAAGCGAACTGGAATATATGTGGAGGCACTACAAGAACAGTGATTGTTGGAGTGTGCTATGTACGAAGATGGATATTACCTGATCGGTGTCCGTGTAATTATCGTAACCTGTGTTTAGAGACTTGGAATGAAATGGCCCAAAATAGATTGTAATGACGCGGATGCATCCATTCTTTGTCTTTTCTCAAATTCTAATCTTCTAAATTCCTCATAATTTTCTTCCAATTATTTCTTTGTCTTATAGATGTACATTTTCTCAAATAATCATCATTTCAATCATCTCAGCGATCTTGTTACTACATCTACTACTCTAGAATTTCACATGACAATTTCTTCTCTAGGTTTAATTACACGGATTGTTGGGCAACTTGAACCACGCTATATATCTATATACACTAAGTTCTACGTTAAGCTTGACTAATCATCCACTCAAACTGTCTAGCCTAATAGAAATCTTTAGAGAACTTACTTTATTCCATTCAAAAACACATTAAACAAGCTTGAGCAATGAATGTACAATGGTGAAAATTCTATAACAAGGTTACTTTTACATATATACATCAACGAATACTTTCTATCAAAATGATATTCGTTGAAACGGTAATAAAACTGTAACAACAACAAACAACATTTACTTGAAAAATCTCTTCGGAATTGACAATATTCAATGATTGATTATTTTGATTATTCTCTTGATTAACTAATGATGATGATGATGATGACAATCGTTTCGATGAATAACCACCACCAATTGATAAATTTCGACCAATCCATACAGTTAAAAAAGAACTGAATACCTTTTACAAGGGATGATAATTGAAAAGTTGAGGGGAAAAATATAAATTTCTGAGATAATTTTGTTATTTCTCTTAAATAACAGCTCATTGATAAGTATGATTTATTCTTCTGTGTTTCTTTAAATCCTCTCGTGTGTATATAGCCAGACAAAGAAGTCATATTCACTAGCTTATCTAGGTGTAGGTGTTGTTTGTGAAGTTGATAGGACGAAAATCAAATGTCCTGCCAAGGCTTATATACAAGGCGGGAGTTAGTAAACCCTAATTTCAAACCAGTGGTGCATACGGACTGGATGATCCTGATGGAACAAACAGTGTATAAACCTATTCCTAGTAACTGTCCACTATGGCACAGCATCTTTTAACATCTCTCCACTGTCTTGCAGATTAGATCTGTAGGTTGAAGGCTTAGGGAAAGACCCCTCGAAAAAAAACACTCACTTTGGTTTGGGTATACGGACAGTATCCAAGCCCATTCACAAATTCAAGAATTTGTGTGGCACAAAAATTTTTTCATTATAGAGTTATGGAGATTGTTGTTTATGAGTGAACTCATGAATGAATCATTGTTAGATTACCATTAAAAACTTGGAAGCATTGGATGATCGTTTCATCCTGGTATGAGACTCATAAGTAGTGTACATCCACAACTGCTACTACTTGCAGGATTCGAACCCAAGATCTTCAGTCTTGCGCGAACGCCTAAGCTAATGGTGGTGTAACAATGGTTGATTCATGGTTTCAATAATAAATAACAATCTCCATATCTCTATAATTAAAAATTGTACAATGTACTTATTCACTAGTAACTAGCTTTGTAAGGAAATTCTTGGAGTTAAATCCTGTCGGGTGTAGGCAGTAACTATCGAAGGCAATAGATGGAGGTTGCACAAAACATTAGATTGGTCAGAGTTACACATTAAAACACTGTTGGATGCCGACGAAGGTTAGGTGTTCGCGCGCAAGACCTTCGGTCTTGGGTTCAAATGCTGAGAGTAGGCAAGAGTCATGGATGAGCACTGCTGAGGAGCCACACACTAGGGACTTGACGGCTATCCAGTGTTTACATGTTTCTAAAGGATTAATTCATGATTTCAAAAATAAACAAATAGTTACATGGAAATACAGAATCCAGAGCATATGTGCATATCGCTTCAAGTTATCATATCTCATTAACAAAACGGAGTTAAAAAATTTCCCAGGGCTATCATCCCACATCTCCTATCAGAGGTATCTCTATCTATAAACATAGCTAAGCTATGTAATTTTTCCGGAATTCGACCTATCAGAGAGATTATTGATATTATCATGTTGAAAGTGAATTAGTCAAAAAAAGGCATTTAACTCTTTGATTGAATTAAACATATACATTTTAACTCTCAATGCGTAAAGATGACTTGAAAAAAAAATTGTTAACAAGACAAATTTTTATAACTTACCATCCATATACCCCAATAAATTAAATTCCAAAAGACTGTATTTTCAAAAATTTCACTGCCCAATTTTACACAAACTAATGACTCAGTAAGAATGATTGCGCTGTAATAATAATAATAATAATAATAATAATAATAATAATAATAATAATAATAATAATAGTAGTAATAATGAGTTCGATTAGGTAATTAGCTTTTTTGTCCATAAAACAATTAAATATTTTAAATTAGTTGAGTATTAAACACCCAATAATATTGATTGTATTCCTAGTAATTTTAGATGTAAGAAGAACTATAAATCGAGATGTGCTATCTATTGAAAGAAGATGAAACTGTGGTGTGAGCTACTTATAAGTAGTATATGACGTGAGTGTCAACGTAATGTCTGGCAGCAGAAGATAGGGGAAGATCAAGAAAGGAAGAGTTAGAAGAACACAATGGAATTTGTATGAAACGCATGAATAGTGACAATGGATTGATGTTTGGCAACAGGAACAGTCCAGTTCCATAGGAGGGACTGATATTTTTCAAATTAACGATTTACGATATGGTTTTCCGATTTTACTGAGTAACTCTGCAATTTTCGTTAAATACAATTCGGTTGCCCTCACCTGTGTTCTTGTTCACTACAAAACTTCTTAGATGGTTGGAAGTAGTCGATGGAAAATTTGGATTAAGGCTTTTGTCTTACTCAGCACAAATTAAAAAAGGCTATTTGTAATCTTGATAAGAATCAGTACCCTTTCAGGATTTCGAATTCTGCTTTATGTTACCATTGAGTTCATTAGACTATGAGTAACCTCCTGTAAAACTGAGATATATTAGTGGATATCAAGTTGGCTTAATTGTACAACAGGTTTGTAAATAATGATCACTTATTCATTAGTTTAGGTTCGAGCGGAGAATGATAAAATGAAAACAGTAAGCTTAGAGTTCAAGAATGAAGTCGTACTACTGACTGTATAAAGATATAATGGCAGCAACTGTTCCGATTGTGCTTTCGAACAATAAAAGTCCGAGAATAAGTCGTTTCTTAAACGTAGCATATCTTAACCTGAATCAAATGTTTCCGTTTCCGATAGTAAGATCTTTAAGATATAGAGCTAACGCATATATAACCACTCGGAAAAAGCCATACGTGATCAGTCTCCAGATACCATCACCCAAGTAGTCAAGACTACTTGTAATCTAGTCTTCTCAGTTATCTCAATAACAAGTATCCTGCCACAGTCTGGACAACTTAGAAGTGACAACTCCCCTTATATATCTAACAGTAAGAGAGATTATCACATTTATAATAAAATACTATAAGCAGACTGAACATGGCACCGATGTAACAGAAAAAAAATACCCTCAAAACTCCTTCAGTGTTTTAGTGCAAAGTGTTGTTATTTCTTTGCTCATTGACCATGCTTTGTACTTAACTCTTACTCAGGATTCTTGTAACCGTATTTTGTGTTTCTAACTCATTAGCATTCAGCTTTAGTTAGTGTTTACCCCTAGTATATAACTTTTCTGTTGCTTGTTGCCTGTCTATTGACAACAAGGCAGTGTTTGACTAAACTCAAGGTTTCATTATTGATCTTTGAATGTCTGCTGGAAATGGCTGTCCAAATCTTTAGAAGTAGAAATTTAATCCTATCTTGTTAGGAATACTCATTGATTTTCAGATACTGAATCAGTCAGTCAGTCAGTGACAACGCAAAACTTCGTACGTAAGTACATCAGTTCAGGTTGCCATACCACAATAGCACAGAGACGCAACTGGCAATTCCAATCCCATAGTGGTAGAGATAGTAGAAGAATTACTGGTAATGCAGAAGATAGGGATTTGAGAGAACGCAAAGAGTGGATGCACTTGCGCCATTGCAAACGATTTTGAGCCATGTCGTTCAAGGTCTCTAACCATCGGTGACTTTCGTCTCACGGACTCTAACCAGGTAGCCTACATCTACCAACATGACCAGTCTACTTGTCAGTGACTTCATGGATTTCTGCCATGTTTTGGTTTGACCGCCCCTAGCTTTCTTTCAACGTACTCCTAAACCACAAAAAATAGCTCGACAAGGCAGTCAAGGTTGGGCACAGTAAACTCTTCCTTTGGTTAGCAGACGTATATCTCGCCTACACCATAAGTAACGCAAGTTGGCAAACGCTAATCGAGCCTTCTTTATCCGAGCTGAGATTTCGTCAGACAAAAGGCCATCTGCGCTGATGAGACTCCCCAGATAAGTGAAGTGGTCAACATGATGCAGTACCTCACTCCCTTTCACTAGTTCAGGTGCCGATGCAACCCAAACATTAAGCAACATTTTGCATTTCGAGGGTGAGAACCGCATTCCTAACATGCTTGCATTGTTGCTTAGGGTGGTTAGAAGACTCTGAATTTTGTCAGCGTCTTCACTGAATAGGACTATGTCATTAGCATATTCTAAATCAGCAAGCGTGTCTGCTGGTAAAAGGTCTACTCCTGAAACTTCAGAAGATGATAATGTTAACTCTAGAAGCATATCTACTCCAAAGTTAAACAAGAATGGAGAGAGTGGACATCGCTGACGGACACCACTTGAACTAGATAACCCCGATGACAGTTTGCCACAAGCTCTCGACCCGAGCAGTAGTATTCGAGTAGAGAGCTTACATAAAGTTAATGTACTTCTATGATACACCTTCTAATGACAGACACTGCCATAAAACCTCACGATCCACAGAGTCAAATGCAGCCTTTAGGTCCAGGAAGAAAACCACTGTCGGACGCCTAAATGTATGTCTGTGTCAGATACTGAATACTTATTTATTATTCATTATTTTTGCTGCTTAGTATGCTATTTTGTACTAGAAAAACTTATGACTGTAAAGCACAAGCTGTACCGTATAATTTAATACGAATCACTCAAAAACTCTTTGTAATCTATGAAGAGAAAGAATGCAATTTGGTCTAATCGCATAAACTTTGATTCTTTAGCTCTACACATTCAGATTAAATATTTTCTCAATCAATCAATCAATCAATCAATCATTAATATTAATATCCCAATTATTTTGTAAACTATTAACGTGTAACGTGTATAAATTTCAATCAATTACATTTGATGTGTTTTTTTCTCCCAACTTCCCAAATTGTTATTTTTATAAGCAGGAAAACTTGGAATAAAATGATGTGTAGAAGCAACAATAATAATAATAATAATAATAATAATAATCATAAATTACAACATAAACAATTCACTGTGTCAATAATTTTTTCTACAACAATTCCCTCACTTCTCTGTAATGAATAAAAATATTAGGTTTGTCATAAATAAAACTGGTTCTTTTTTTTATTCATGAACAATTTTCACTAGTTTTATCATAGTCAGTCAGTCAGGTGCAACGTAGAACTTTGTACATATGTACATAAGTTCATGTTGCCATACCACATCAGCAAAGAGATGTAATTGTCAATTCAAATCCAATAGTAGAAGAGGTAGTAAAGGTATTAGGAGTAATCGGAGAGGTTAGGATTAGAAGATATATTATTCAAGAAGTATGATTCAGTGAGTTTTATCATAACGAAACGAGTAAACATTGATAATGTAGACGATGGGAATAGAAACAGTAAGTCATATGAATAAAAGAGTAGTGAACTAGAAGAAGCATTGGACGACAGCCGTTTCGTCCTAGTATCATCTACGACCCATACACGAGGAAATCGAACCCAGAATTTCATTATTAAGTTTAAAATTATTGGTCAATCATTATGGAGATGCAAAATGTATTGACACTAATATTCGCTTTTTTACCACTAGAACCGTCAATATTGTTTTGCTAATACGTATGTGAATACAAATTTGAATTATGTACAGATTTCTGTGACATTAGTTGAAAGGAACATTCAATATGAAGTAACAAAAGTTATATTATTATCGTAAACCAGAAGAAATCAGTTGGTGCGTAGCATACAGGTGTGAATATGCGATTTATGCAAAAGGATTTTTCACCTCATATGGTCAAGAGTATATACCCACTGGCAAGGAACTCTTACTCATTACCTTCTCTAGAAGCAGGTGTTGTCTACAAAACTGAGAGGACGAAACGAGAACGTCCAACCAGCACTTAAACCTCATTAGTGGATACGAAAGATTCAACTAAGGGAGTTAGAAAACCCTAATCCCAAACTAACGGTGTTGATGTTCACACCAAGACTTGAATGAAGTACTTTTCTTTTTTAAACGCCTCAGGCTGGGGTTCACGTATATTCAGAGTTACAGACAAGTGCCAAAGAGAACGGTACGCCGGTTTTGGATTCCACTACTAGTCATAATATATTTCTTAAAACTGCTTGTGACTAAAAAATCATATCGAGGTAATGTGCACAGAGTGAACATAGGCCAAAAAAGAGATAGATCAATTAAATTCCTAAACATCAATAAGGAGATTCAAATTCCCAGTATGAATGAATTTTACTGGCTGTTTATACTTCAAGTCATTTAGATTAGCGTGACAATGTTATCACCTGATCGAATGAATTCTAATCAACAGTACTAAACGATTAAACCAATGATAACATTGATCAACGAATGCTATTCAGTGAGCAATTAAAATTCATTCCTAAATAGATTTAGATTTTAATTGTATATGATAGATAGAGAGCAGATGGACATATTATCAGTGAAATTGACAGTAGAGTTAACGATAGCAATCGATGGTTAGAGACTTTGAATGACATGGCTCACAATCGTTGGCATGAATGCAAATGCATTCATGCTTTGTCTTCTCTCATATTCTAGTCTTCTGAATTCCTCATCACCTTCATCTTTCTATTTTTTTTGAATTTATTTCACGAAGATACACGGAATCTCAAAGATAACGAACGTCCAACGCCACAACTTCTTGAATAATACCGTCGAACCCTAATCTTCTTCATAGCCGCTGATTCTTTTACTACCTCTGCTACTATGTGAACTGAATTGATAATTTCATCTTTTTAAGCTAATTTGGCATGGCAACTTGAACCGATATACGTATGTACGAAGTTCTATATTGTAGCCAGCTGACTGTTAGGACATTCATCCAATATCCTAAGAGAATTATTGGTGAGTTCCTATTGGTTAATTCCTACTGGTCAACTGTATGGTCCTCCTAGATATCAATGTCACGTACTGCAATGTTGTTTCTTATTGGTTGTCCTGACTATCAATGTCGCTTCAAATGTTGTTTCCTATTGGTCGTCTTTACTGTCAATGTCACAGACTTCGATGCTGTTTCCTATTCGACCAAAATGTATAAATAAGCATTATCTGTAACGTTTTGTGACCAGGACTAGGACCCGGATCATTAGTCCGGGATCCTGATTCTCTTCTGGATACGGAACTCGTACTTTCTGGATGATTGTAGAATACAGGTCCTACTTCATATCATGTCTTCTTATTTTTATTCAATCTGGGGGTTGGGATAATTGGATTTGAGTAGCATGTCGTGGCACCGGATCCTCGATCCTCGCTCTCGTATTCCGACTACGGTAAACTCGTAATAGTTCAAGTATATCAAATTGGCGTGTTTACATGCAGACGTAACACTGACTGACGTATGTCTGTGAATGCTGTGTATTAATTATTAAGAGTTTGATTCTTATTTTAATAGAAAAAAGAAATCATTTTGCGTATTTTTCTTCTTCCGGAATACCAGACTGCCCTGCACTGAATGTATAAATACCGATAGTGAACAGTTAACATGTTTTTACAAACATATATTACATATATATATAATAACTTACAGAAAAAGCCATAATTGAGATCCAAAACGTTTAATATGTGGATCAATGACATATAAGTAGTATTGTCTAAAGATATATATACATCAGTAAAATGGAAAAATTAACTATAAACATTCAAACAATATCACATAATGTGTTGAAATAAATTATTGAAAATAATTACTGAAAGAAAATATTAACGGGCAACTAAATGAATGTGCAGGGATAGTGTCCAGATGGCTAAATCGAATCATGTAGTTTTCTTCGAAGGCGTCTACCACCTGAGCCTTTGACCTATAGTCTTTAATCTTCAAGGTAGTAATTGGAGAGACTTTAAAAGATGCAGTACCAAGGTAAACACATTTACCAAACCATAGGTTCATCCACTATTTGTTCCCTCAAGATCCTGAAGTTTATGTGCACCACTGGTGTGGAATGAGAGTTCTCCGATTTCTCTATATGGATCCTCCATACTCACTAATCTATAGCCGGATATTTGCTGCTAGTGTTTTCAATGCCATGAACAACACTACCGTCGCAAAAAGGCAGTAAGTAAGAATTCTTTGAGAGTGGCTATATACACATGGTTATATGTGAGTATTTTGAGGGAAAGACTGAACTCTCCTTACTCTCAGGTGTACCTGAGCATTTGTGGAGCTTAACAATGTAATATTTGTCAGCAGACTTGTATATAATAATATTCTGATATTCCAAATGGTTGGTATTGAAGTCAAATTTTATTAAAAATAGAGTATCAACAATGAAAGCAGGTCTTTTTTCAGTTAGCAACATCAAGGAGGATTAATCATGAGTAGTGCATTTCATTGCTAGCAGTGAGTCGGCCAGTCATAAGTAACGTAAAGCCTGGTATAAATATGAAACGATCCAAATTAGCACATTGAATTATCAACGCAGTAAGATGAAAACCAAAGAAGCAGTTCTATAAGTGGTAGTAAATAAGATTAGGCTTGTAGATGACTTGAGAAAGATGAATGAATTTTTGGAATAAACAGGTATAAGATAATCTTGAGACAACAAGCAACTTTGGATACCAACTCTGTAGGCTACAGGCTAAACGTACACGCGCAAGCCCGAAGTTCCTGAGTTCGATTCTCTCAGGCGGGGGTCGTGGATGTGCACTGCAGATGGGTCCCATATTATGACAAAACGGCTGTCTAGTGCTCTTAGGTTTCTAATGGTGGTCTGACAACGATTCTGTTGGTTTACGTGTTACACCTATTCCAAACGGATTCAGTCATCTTGCTGCAATTTCCGGTATTTCTTTTATACATGGTAAGATGGTCTGTTTGTTGGTTCCTGCAATTGATTTCACTTCTGCTGATGGTTTGGGAGTTGATATTTTTTGATGAAGTTGCATGGATAGTCGTTCTTCTGGAAGACAGTCATTAGATATTTTTCTTCGTTTTTTCGTGTTTCATGTGTGCCGTAGTGTGGTTTTTGCTCTCTTGAATAACGTCTGCACGCAGTTGATTCTCTGAGTTATTGGGTTGATGTTACTGTAGTCGAGAATAGTATCTGTGTGGGTTGGCTTTTGATATACTTGAGTTTCCAGTTTTCCTGCGTCAGTTATGGTGTTTAATAGATCCAGGAATGCTAATTTATTGCTTGACTCCTTTTTCACTGAGAATTTCGTCATCAGAGACGTTGGTGATAAGATTGTAGGTGTTCTTCAGTCAGTTCCTTTTAATGATGACGAATGTGTGGTCTACATAGAGAATTCATATTTTTGGCTTGATCACTGGTAAAATCGAGGCTTCTAGTCTCTGAATCACTGCTTCTGCAATAAGTCATGAATATCGGTGATCCTATTTGTAAACCTTTTGTTTGTTCTTACTACCGCCGTCGCACAAACGGGGTTAGCCTAATTATAATATACGGAAGTGGATAGGAAGATTTATTTCATAGCAAACTCGATCATTCGTCTACATTGAAGTCTAGTAGTGAACCGCTAAAGCAACACTTAGGTTGAAACATGGGGCTAAGCCTGCTTTCCGTCCAAAGAGACCGGTACCTTATGCAACATTAGCAACAGTAGATGAAGAGTTGGATCGCCTTCAACGACAAGGAGTTATTACTCCCGTTTCTTACTCTGCTGGCGCAGCACCAATAGTCATTATCAAGAAGGCCAATGGCACGACACGTATATGTGCTGACTTCACTACAGGTCTCAACGCAGCTCTAGAACAGCATCATTATCCTCTGCCAGTCCCAGCAGATCTGTTCACTATGCTGAATGGGTGAAAGTTTTTCGCAAAGCTCGATTTAGCTGATGCTTATTTGCAAGTGGAAGTCGATGACGCATCTAAAGAGCTGCTTACAATCAATACTCATCATGGTTTGTTCCAGTACAACTGTCTGCCTTTTGGAGTTAAGACTGCCCCATCTATCTTCTAACAACTAATGGATACTATCCTATCAGATATCTCAAGGGTCGCAGCTGTTGAATAGCAAATATACGTTGTCAAGGATAAATCGATGAGACTTTAACTTTGAAGTTTCGTGTACTTCATGTTATTTGTGTCGTTGGTAAGTAGCAGCGAGAGAGTTTCTTTCTTCATTATCACCAATATCAAAAACTTATCGCAGAAGCAGTGATGCAGAGACTAGAAGCCTTGATTTTACCAGCGATCAAGCCAAAAAATATGGCCTCTTTGTGTGGACAACACCTACAATCTTATCAGTAACAAATTATCCATGTGATGAGTCCGAAAATAGATGAAAAAATGGGTTCTGAATTCCATTGCTAAAAATCATCTGATATTTTATCTTATTCAATAAATGATTAACAAAAATAGATTTGAAGAGGTATATAGTTCATCTATTTTTTTTTCTGTAAATCTCATTGGTAGAATGCAATCGCAATCGTACAAGTTATTTTTAGGAAGTGAATATAAAAAGAATAACACTGATAGATATTATAACTGATCACTGATGCATACACACATACACAAAATGATTGAACAAACAAAACTGGGTAATAATACCAATACTAATAATAGCAATTACTAGTGAAAGTGAATACAACTACTACTACCACTACTACTACTGACCTACCTACCTTATAGCTGGTGCAGATATACATGTAATTAAAAGTAAACGTAATTGTGTTAGAATATGACTTGGTTTTACAATAAATATATGTTTTAAAAAGAATGAATTTAATTCAGCTAATTGCCAAACTAATATTAATTGAGTTAGTAAAAAACTTCGTAATATCGATGAATCTGGATGTAACCAACGTGTAGGTATCCAACTAAACAGAAATTATATCGAAAAAACAAAAATAATAACAGAATATAAGATATGAAAAAATTATTTATGTGTATAATAAAAAAACGTGTTATATTGTGAGTAACCGATAGAGTTTAGGACATGTGTTTCATCCTATATGAACAACTTATCTGACATTTGTATATGTAAATTGTAACTTTAATGGTTGCATTGTATGTATGCATTTATGTATATTAAATTGATTGTAGACCGTTATTTGTATACATTAAACATATAGGTGAGCTTTCCTATACTCTTAAAGGTTGACATACAAACCAATTTTTTTGAGTTAACTAATCAGAGTTAGACATTTACACCGTTGGATACCGGCACAGTGGCCTAGAGGTTAGGCGTTCGCGCGCCAGTCCGATTCCTGAGAGTAGCGAGAGTAGTGAATGAGCACTGCCACTGATGAATCCCACAATTGGACGAAACAGCCGTTCAGTGCTTCCAGGTTACTAATGGTAGTCTGGAAATGATTGGTTCATGATTTCAATAATAATTAACCGGTCAGTGAGTTGCAAAGTAGAATACAGTGCATGCACACATCAGTTCAAGTTATCATACCATATAAGAATAAAGAGATGAGATTGTAAGAAAAAATCCCACAGTAGAAGAGGTAGTAGTAATATCTGCGGTTATGAATTGAAGATAGGATTCAAGGAAAGATAAACCACAGAAACAAATTTAATATGAGAAAGAAAATTAGCCATGGGGAAACGGGTGCCACCGCAACGATTTTGAGCCATGTCATTGAAAGTCTCTAACCATTGGTCACGATAATCACACGGACACCAATCGGTTAATCTCTACTTCCGTATATAGCACAGTCTACCAATCAGTGTTCTCGTGGACGAAGGTCACATGTTGCATTAATAGTTCCTAGCTTCTAGCCTACTCCTACACCAGGCAACATCGCTCATCGGGGTAGGTGGTGGTCAGGAACACATAACTCATATCCAACTCACCTCAGCTGGTGGAGATTTATCACTGCATCAATCGATTTGCCATCCTTACCCGGTATCTTATTCTTAACCTAGAGATTGCTTACTCGATCACCCTAAGACATACGACATACACAAAACATTCGAAGATACCTATGGTCAAATACTAGTGATCTACGAATATCCCCTACTCTTAATCGCCATGTTTCGCACCTATAAAGTACAGCTGAGTGAGGTTCTGCACGGGAAACTGGTCCTTTGATTAGCAGATGGATATCATGTCTACGCCATTAGTGAAAAAAGTTGAAGGAAACTAATTGAGTCTTCCCTATCTGTGCCGAGATCTCATCAGACACCAGGCCATCAGATAAATAAAGTGGCCAACACACCAGATTACTGCACTCCCTGTCATTAATTTAGGTGCTGATACAAGCCCATCCTGACACAACATTTCGCATTTGGAGGGAAAGAAGTGCATGCCAAACATGCTACCACGGTGAATACACTTCTTTGGCACGTCTTTCAATGACAGACACTTCCATTAAAACTTCATGACCAACATAGTTATACACTACCCTAAGGTCAAGGAATACAACAACATTGGAGAGTATGCATATGTTCTATAACTTGTCAAAGTGCCAATATTTAGTCTAAATATCCAAGTCGAAGTCTAAAACCACCCTGATTTTCTCGAGCTTTCTCTTTCCGATCCTTAGTCAGGCGTAAAACTATTATTAAAGCTAATATTCTAGACATTTTATTAGTTAAACTAATTCCTCTCTGATTATCAAAACAGGATTTTTTTTCCCTTTCTTATGTAGAATGAGATGATCAGAGATGAAGATCAACCAGATGAGATTACATCTAGTTCTCAGATTCTACCTGGTATCTCAGTTAATCTAATTCATAAAACTAGACCGTCATCTTCGAAAATCTAAGGAACATGTTGCGTTTAAAGATATTTTGGTTTAATGATTGATTTATTCATGTTTTTAGTGAGCTAATTTGTTGCATTCTTGTCGAGATTCTTAGATTGTCTGAATCAAATACACACGCTTTCTTTATGTATTTGCCCAACTTATTTTTATTTATTTAAACACATAAACATCGGTACAAAGCAGCGCCCAAATATTTATACGCCACACAAATTAATGAATTTTTGTGTGGGTTAGAATACTGATCAATTCCCAAACAGAAGCAGGTGATTTTCTTAGAGAACCATTTTTCGAGCTTTTGACCTATGGGTCTAATCCAGTGGAGCAGTGGAGCGGTACCACGGTAACTAGTGACCGACAATAGATTCATGCGTCATTTCTTCCATCGAGTTATTGGAACCCGCGTACAGTTAGTTACTTACTTACTTACTTACGCCTGTTACCCCCAATGGAGCATAGGCCGCCCACCAGTTTCCTCCAACCAACCCGCGTACAGTACTGGTATTAATTTGGATTCAGGGTTGATCAACTAATCCCCTATGTGAATTCTTCGTACTGCCCAACTTCGTTTAAGCCATGTTTAGATATTAGCTTTCCTTCCTATCAACTTCGTAAGTAATACCCCTATCGTGAAAGAGTGGTGAGTAGGACTTCTCTAGCAGTGGCTATGTACACATGGCCGCCTTTAAACATTTCGAGAAGGAAAACAGACTTTCTTAGTTTTTGGTTGTACCGTAGCATTTTCCCGACTAGTTTTATGCAAATGAGGGAACTAAAGAATGACTAAGAAGCTATAATTAACAAATCGAATAACTAGACACACAAATCGTTGGTATATATATATTTCTAACCTAGGCACAGATAATACGAATCCAAACATGATTAGATGGTATGATCGGCTTCCTTAAATAAGGTTCCTAGTTGGACAAGTATAGACTTATCCAGCCTATAAATATATCTAACCTTTATGTGACAGAAGGCAATAAAAAAAAAGAAGTAAAAGTTGGCTTTGTACATTAATCATTAGTGCTGTTAAGTGCTATCGTTGTTCACAACTTATTGATTGACTTATGAGATTCGGTGCAGGATCAGATGATCGTAGCAAAGACTTCTGAGTTGGAGGACTTGTTAAAATAATTGTATTCTGCGGTTGGAAAGGTCAGGAAAAAAAGGCTGAAAAATCGACCGCAGTGGTGCAGCTTCTTTAAATATTAATATTGTCCTATAATTCTTATTCTCTCTTGACTTCTTTCAAAGTATAGTTCTTATGTTTAGCTTCCGGTTGGTGTTGAGAGATTGTTTCCTCTTACTTGTCGCTTATCATCAACTTCTGCTCCAAGTAGTTTATATCATTGTCCAGAACTATAACGAAAGCTTCACGATCGAATTACTATCTGTATTATTACTGCTAACTCCGCCAGTAGAACCTTCGGGTCTACTGCCGGTCCCAAGCCCGGGTAAAGGAGGAGGGTTGGACATGGGGTTGGCGACCCCATTCCGTCGAAATCTAACTTGCCAAAAAAACGCTAACCAGAAAAAATAATTCAAACCATTTTAACTCTGCCCTGGGAGTTGGAAGAAGAATTATGACGTCGCGTGGTGAAAGCCGAGTTCCCTCGGAAGTCACGGGGCCGATGCCTCTTCTGACAACCAGAGCAACCATTCTTTTACGTACATGGAACGTTCGTACATTGTGGGAGACTGGAAGACTATTTCAAGTTGCGGCAGAAATGAAAAGATACAACCTCGAGGTGCTCGGCATCAAAGAAACGCATTGGACACAGGTAGGACAACTGAGACTAGCTTCAGGGGAACTGCTGTTATACTCTGGTCATGAACAGGAAAATGCTTCACATACACAAGGAGTTGCACTGATGCTGTCTAAACATGCACAAAATGCACTGATAGGATGGGAATCTCATGGACCCAGGATCATTAAAGCATCCTTCAAAACATAGAAAGAGGACATTACAATGAACGTCATCCAATGTTATGCACCTACCAATGACTACAATGACGACGTTAAAGATCAATTCTACGAAAGGCTGCAGTCAATCGTCGACAAACGATCACCAAAAGGATTTGACCATTCTGATGGGAGACCTGAATGCCAAGGTTGGCATGGACAACACTGGATATGAAGACATCATGGGACGACATGGACTGGGAGAAAGGAACGAAAACGGTAAGAGATTTGCAAACCTATGTGCCTTCAACAAACTGGTCATCGGTGACACAATATTCCCGCACAAGCGCATACACAAAGCTACATGGATTTCACCGGACCACACTAGTCAAAACCAAATTGACCATATCTGTATCAACAAAACGATCAGAAGGACCATGGAGGATGTGAGAACCAAGAGAGGAGCTGATATAGCCTCAGATCACCATTTGCTAATCGCCAAAATGAAACTGAAACTAAAGAAGCACTGGACAACGGGGCAGATAACATCACAGAAGTTTAATACAGCCTTTCTTCGGGATACTGTAAAGCTCAACGAATTCAGGATAGCCCTGACCAATAGATTCCAGGCCTTGCACGATATACTCAATGGAGAGGAAGCAACATTGGAGAACAATTGGAAACGGATTAAGGAGGCAATCACTTCAACATGTCACGAAGTTCTGGGTCACAAGAAGCACCATCACAAGGAATGGATCTCTGTTGATTCTCTCGCAAAAATTGAAGAAAGGAGGAACAAAAAGGCAGCAATCAATGTCAGCAGAACAAGAGCAGAGAAAGTTAAGGCACAAGCTGAATACACAGAAGCAAACAGGGAAGTGAAGAAGAGCATCAGAGCTGACAAACGAAAATATGTGGGATATCTAGCAATGACGGCGGAAAAGGCTGCAAGAGATGGAAACTTGAGACAATTGTACGAAACAACAAAGAAGCTGGCCAGAAACTATCGTAAACCAGAACAACCAGCGAAAAGCAAGGAAGGCAAAGTAATCAGCAACACTGAAGAACAGCGAAATAGGTGGGTAGAGCACTTTGTGCAACTCTTGAATCGACCAGCTCCACCGAACATACCCAACATCGAAGCAGCATCTACAGACCTCCCAATTAATAATGGCGCACATACAATTAAAGAGATCAGCACGGCCATCAGATAAATCAAGAGCGACAAATCAGCAGGACCAGACAACATTCCAGCAGAGGCAATGAAAGCAGATGTAGAAGCAACTGCGAAAATATTTCACATCCTCTTCAAGAAGATTTGGGATGAGGAACAAGTACCATCAGATTGGAAAGAAGGATACCTCATCAAAATACCAAAGAAAGGCGATCTCAGCAAGTGTGAGAACTACACAGGCATCACTCTTCTTTCAATACCAGGCAAAGTCTTCAACAGGGTATTGTTAAACAGAATGAAGGACTTCGTAGACGCCCAACTTCGAGATCAACAGGCTGGATTTCGTAAGGATCGATCGTGTACTGACCAAATTGCTACATTACGGATCATTGTGGAACAATCAATTGAATGGAACTCACCACTCTACATCAACTTCATCGACTACGAGAAGGCATTCGATAGCGTGGATATGAAAGGACTGTTGAGGCTTCTTCGACACTATGGTGTGCCTGAGAAAATAGTTGACATCATACGGAACTCTTATGATGGATTCAACTGCAAAATCGTACACGAAGGACAGCTAACAGACTCTTTCCAGGTGAAGACCGGTGTCAGGCAAGGTTGCTTACTCTCACCCTTTCTCTTTCTCCTGGTCATCGACTGGATTATGAAAACGTCAACATCTAGAGGGAAGCACGGTATCAACTGGACAGTTAGGATGCAGCTGGACGATCTGGACTTCGCAGATGACCTGGCTCTTCTATCTCACACGCAACAACAAATGCAAGAGAAGACGACCAGTGTAGCAGCAGCCTCTGCAGCAGTAGGTCTCAAAATACATAAAGGAAAAATCAAAATTCTCCGATGCAACACAACATGCACCAACCAAATAACTCTTGATGGAGATGCTTTGGAGGACGTTAACACCTTTACATATCTGGGCAGTATCATCGACAATCAAGGTGGATCCGATGCAAATGTGAGGGCGCGGATTGGCAAAGCAAGGGCTGTATTCTACAGTTGAAAAATATCTGCAACTCCAAACAACTTTCAACCAAAACCAAAATCAGGATTTTCAATACTAATATCAAGACAGTTCTACTGTATGGAGTGGAAACTTGGAGAACTGCGAAAGCCATCATCCAGAAGATACAAGTATTTATGAACAGTTGTCTACGCAAAATACTTCGTATTCGTTGGCCTGACACCATCAGCAACAACGAACTGTGGGAGAGAACAAACCAGATTCCAGTGGAGGAGGAAATCAGGAAGAAGCGGTGGAAGTGGATAGGGCACACTACGAAAAGCACCTAACTGCGTCACGAGACAAGCCCTCACATGGAACCCTTTAGGCAAAAGGAAAAGAGGAAGGGCAAGGAACACATTACGCCGAGAAATAGAGAAAGATATGAGAGGAATGAACAAACATTGGACAGTCAATCTGTAATAGATATAACCTACATAATAAAAATTGAGTTTCATAAGACTTTTATTATTATCCTTAGAAAAGTATAAAAGGATATAATTTTGAAAGAAAAAACGGAGACAAGCACAACATTAATTACCTGCGTGGTGTAAATTGTAAGAAAGCACGTTTTAATTTACCACGTGTACTTGGTATATTACGAATAGAATCCCATTGATAATCACGCATTTCTAACCAACGACATAACCACATACCACATTGTATGCCTAAACCATTACAGACTAATATGTCTAAGATGAGACTATCCCACCAACATTCATTAAAATTTGGTAGAATATGTGAAAAAGCTACCTTGAAAAGAGGAAACAAGCAACAAAAAAAAACAGGAATGATAGACATAAACCTATTTAAAAATCGTACTAGGTATGTTCAGTCAGTCAGTTGCAACATAGAACTTCGTACGTATGTACATCAGTTCATGTTGTCATACCACATTAACACAGAGACGCAAATGTCAAATCAAATCCCATAGTGATAGAGATAGTAGAGGTATTAATGGTAATGAAGAAGACTAGGGTTTGAAGATATTATTCAAGAAGTATAATTCAGTGAGATAAGGTTAGAAAGACAAAGGTAGAGGTGCTGACGAATCCAGAAGATTAGGATTTGGGAGAGCACAACGAATGGGTGCACTTGCGCCATTGCAAACGATTTTGAGCCATGTTGTTCAAGGTCTCTAACCATCGATGACTTTCGTACTAGGTATGTTAGATTCAGATGGCTGTTTGTTTTTTTTAATTTTGAGGGCATAATTGTTCAAACAGAAGGGTAAATAAATTTCGAATCGATGACTTGATGGCTAAAAGTTGACTATCATAACTACCGTCATAATCACCGGTCATTCGAATAATACTCTTTGTTAGTCATAATTGAAGTGATATATTAGGGACTTGATTGACGCTTGAACTGATAAAATTACCTAACAAATAAGTTACAATGTGACTGGTTAGTTGTTTAATGAGTTTCATTACAATGCAGGTTTTTTTTTCTTCGAGCTCAACTAATCTACTTTTGATAGTTATAGTAAGCAATAATATCTGATGTTATTATATCAATCAGGTTTGGACATGTGTTACATGTGCATAACCCTAACCACAGACTACTTCGAAGAGTGATGTTGTCTGATGCAGGAGTAGTAGACTGGAAAAGAGCTAGGGGCGGCCAAACCAAAACATTACACGAATCCAAGAAGTCACTGACAACTAGGCTGAGCCATGTTAGTAGGTGTAGACTACCTGGTTGGAGTCCGTGAAACAACAGTAACCGATGGTTAAAGAATATAAATGACATGGCTCAAAATCGTTTGCCCGGGTGCATCCTTTCTTTGAGTTCTCGCAAATTCTAATCTCCTGAATTCCTCATCACCTTCATTTTTCTCGTCTCAATTTTATTTCACTGGATTATAATCCTTGAAGAATTTCTTCAAACTCTGATCTTCTCCGTTGCCGCTAATACTTCTACTATCTATACTACTATGGGATTTGAATGAACAATTGTATCTCTATCATAATGTGGTAGGGCAACTTGAACTGATGTACGTACATACGAAATTCTACGTCGTAGCTGACTGATTTATTACATCAAATGATTTCAGGTTGAATATTTGAATTCAAGTGTTTTAGGGGTCAAGCAAGTTTCATCCTATTTAGGACTCATTAGCTAGATGTACTTGAATCTCAGAGTTTATGGTCAGACAAATTTTCAATATCTAAAAGATACATGTCTTTCTTTGATACTACAATGATACATAACGTTTGAATATTTGACTTATTCTGGCCCCCCCAAATGCTCTGGTACGGTCGAAAGTGCGGAGAGTTCAGTTATCCTGTAGAAATTCTCAAATACAACCACGCTTTATAGCCACTGGAAGGGAAGAAATACTTACTACCTTCTCGTGGCGAGGGTGTTCTGAAAGTAATTGAGAGGATGGAAAGCAAATATCCGGCCAGGGCTTAAACAGGGTTGATGAGTACGAAGGATTCACCTTGGGAAGTTGGAAGACTCTCATTCTAAACCAGTGCTGCAGGTATGCACCAGTATGTCGATGAGAGAAATGGGGTATGAACCTGTTATTGGTCACTGGCTACCATCGTATCGAATTTACTAATCTTGCTCTACCGCTCCACTAGATTAGACCTGTAGGTCAAAGGCTCGGGAAATAGCTCTCTAAGAAAACTACCAACCTCGATTTGGGAACCGATTAGTATGCCAGCCCACTGATTTGTGTGGAGCATAAATATTTAGGTGCCCTTTTGTATCGATGTTTATGTGTTTGAATAAATATACGACACTGTAAGCTGCTTATCAAGTTAAAGTACTCAACTGTTTCAAGTCAAACTGTTTATACATGAAGACCTGGTTAAATAAAATTAGATGGGATGGAGTGTTTGAATACTTATAACCTACTAGTTAAAAACTCTGACTACTACAGAATACAGAATAATGAAGGATTTCAATTCAAAGATGTACTCATAAATATCATTATAAAGTTTCAAATTAAATTTCTGATCTGTACTTATTTAAAAATGAAAACGCTTCTTTGACAACTCTATAAGAACAGGTGTGAATTTGACAAAAATGACACATAAATCAGGACTGAGCATTGAAATTAGTGTGCATAGTTGATGCATCCCTGCTTCAATTCATATAGTTTAGTCTAAAAAGGAAAACTTATTTTTCAGATGGGAAAGGTGGTATGATAGGCCATTTTGGATATAGGCAAAATGATCATTGAAAGATGGATGCCCACTTTGCTTCATTTTTTTGAGGAGAAAAGACGTATGTCTATAAATAAGTGCACATGTATTCTTGAATTGGTTGGCCAATAAAAGCTTCCTATTCACTTTGCATTTTCTTATTCAGATGGTAGGTTGAATCCGCATACAGGAAGTGTATAAATCAGTAGCAGACTCAGACGACTGTTCAGCATAATGGTAATATACTTTTATATGTTGAAACTTAAGTTTTTAAAAATTGTTTGACAATGTCAAATAGTAACAATTAATTGTTACAAAATGAGATTGGTTCTGTGGAGACAATGCATACACATTCGCTGTAACCAACAAACGTAGCCGCATTCCATGAGTTGTAAGTTGTCATGAGTTTAACGAACCTCATTGACTACTGATCACTGAGAATCAGTCAGTGTCACGTTTATTTAATCCTTACTGGCAATCGGATACACTATCAATCATAACTCAATATGATCAACGGTATAAACAACTTGACATCGCATGTACTATGTTAAGATGCTAGCTGATTGAAACTAGTCAGCAAGAAATTCTAAGCCTCGGTTTTATGTTGGTTAGAACACATTCAAACAACATAGAGAGAGAACTCTGTATGATTAAAGTAACGACAAGCAATAAAATTTAGGTACATGATTTCGTATTCAGTCAGTCAGTCAGATGCAACGTAGAACTTGGTACGTAAGTACATCAGTTCATGTTGCCATACCACATCAGCAGAGATATAATTGTCAATTCAAATCCAATAGTAGAAGAGGTAGTAAGGGAATTAGAAGTAATCGGAGAGGTTAGGGTTAGAAGATATTATTCAAGAAGTATGATTCAGTGAGAAAAGTTTAGAAACTCAAAACTAGAGGTGTTGAAGAATCCAGAAGATTAGGATTTGAGAGAACACAAAGAATAAATGCACTGGCGCCATTGCGAACGATTTTGAGCCATGTCATTCAAGGTCTCTAACCATCGATTATTATCATCTCGCGGACTCCAACCAGGTAGTCGACAATTACCGACATGGCTCAATCCACTAGTCAATGACTTCATAGATTTCTGCCATGTTTTGGTCTGGCCGCCCCTCACTTTCTTCCAACCTACTCCTACACTACAAAACAAGGCTCGTCGAGGCAGTCGGTGGTTCGGCATACGCAACACATGTCCCAACCACCTCAACTGATGAAGTTTCACCACTTCATCTATTGATCTGCCATCCTTACCTAGTACTCGTTTCCTAACGACAGCATTGCTTACTCGGGTGTCCCACGGTATACGAGCAATGCTTCGAAGACACCTATGATCGAAAACTAGTAACTTACGAATATCTTCTACTCTCACTGGCCATGTTTCACAGCCATATAGGAGAACGGAGCGAACTGCTGCACAGTACACTCGTCCTTTAGTCAGCAGACGGATATCTCGCCTACGCCATAAGTGACGCAGGTTGGCAAAAGCCAATCGAGCCTTCTGTATCCGTGCCGAGATTTCGTCAGTCACCAGGCCATCGGCACTGATGAGACTCCCAAGATAAGTGAAGCGGTCTACACGCTCGACTACTTCACTCCCTATCACTAGTTCGTATTGACTACTTCTAACTATGGAATATCTTAAATTAGTTTGTTTAAAATTAGTCTTTTAAAAGAAATAAGAGAAAATAAATCAAGTATGATGAAATTACTTACCTCAGTTATTTCCCAATTAATTGATAAAGTCCATGCAATAATATGATGTCTTAATAGAACAGCTTTAATAAGCCAACCACAAAAATGTGCCAAAGCAAAAATATCCATATGAGAATAAACACGAGCAAATGATATCTTTAAGATAATAAATAAATAAAATAAATAAATAGTAATTATAAATAATTAAGTTGAGGCGAATGGACTCTTTAACGTTGAAAGAAGAATGAATAAATTTACAGAATTCTAGCAATTTTAACTCTATTTTGGGGCACTGTTTTGGAGGTTTGCGTTTTTACACATTTGAAATCATCAATCAATCAATGTTAGACCACCATTAGAAACCTGGAAGCACTGGACGGCCGTTTCGTCCTGGTATGGGACTCATCAGCAGTGCGCATCCTCGCAGCATTCGAACCCGGGACCTTTGGCATTGCAGGCGAACGCCTTACCATCGGACCACTGGGCCGGCATCCAACGGTGTTAATGTCTAACTCTGCGCACTGCTGATGAGTCCCATACCAGGACGAAACGGCCGTCCAGTGCTTCCAGGTTTCTAATGGTGGTCTAACAATGATTGATTGATGATTTCAAATGTGTAAAATGTTAACTCTGTTAATTGACTGTGACCAGATCTGAGTGATGTCTTATTAAAGTTGGTTACCAAGTTATGCCCGCATAATCTTCAATAGGTCGATGTTTTTGTGGTACAATAACATGGGCTAACGCTACTAGACTCTAGACTGGTTATGACTTATTATTCTTTCGTAAACTTGAGTTTATATTATTCAAGAGAGTAAGATAAAAGATGATGCTAAACAGTGAATTAGATGATGGCGAATAACATATAGTAAGAATGGTTTGAGTGTATCAGTCAGTCAGATGCAACGTAGAACTTCGTACGTAAGTACATCAATTCATGTTGCCATACCACATCAGCACAGAGATATAATTGTCAATTCAAATCCAATAGTAGAAGAGGTAGTAAAGGTATTAGAAGTAATCGGAGAAGTTTTGAGTGTATCAGATAGTAAATAACTTGTGGTTTTAAGGATATGATAGATTTTAATCATTTACACAACATACACTTATTTATACGGCTCTATACTACGATGTGTGAGGACTAGTAATAAATACTGCCTGGTTGCACAAATGGAATTGGCTGAAATAGAGTTTGAACTTAGAATGTATCAAGTTGAAAAATGAACGCTCGAATCAATGCTTTATTACAATGCTAGTTGAGAGTTGACTTAGTGTAGTTCATGAAATTTATTGTGTATATCTTTAAAATGAACAAAACAAACGATATTATTTTGTTAGTTTGGTTAATTATTAACAATAATATGCTGTGTTGCACATATAATCAAAGATAGAATATTCTTTTACAAACGAAATTTTATACAGTAAACGATAAATGATTTATGTGTATCTAGTGCTAGTGTGATGTTGGTGTTGCAGTCTCTAAACTAGATGATTTATTTATGCTTTTAGCGTTATTCTGAACAAGATTATTGGTACATACTTCAAAAAGAAGGCTTTTGTTCGAAGTATTTGTTGATGATGTTGTATACAAGAATAATGAATGTTTCACAACTAAAGTATCCAGCGCCAGAGATCACAACACCAATATATTCAAATGCAAATGAATTAGAACAATTCAAATAGCAAATCAACTTTATGACGAAATTTGCAAGGAAATGAAGAAGTAAGAAAAACACATAAGGCTAGAGGATTTCTATGACAAACAAATGAAATTTTTGGAAAAAACACAACACTTCAATCTGACTTCTCAAAATTCATACTCTTGTACGCCTTCACAGAGACCACTGCTTAGAAAGGTCTCTAAGACCGACACTAATTTACCTTTCTTTTCAGGTTCCTCAAGAAAGCCATGAAAAACTAGAAAGCATGAAACATTTAAGTCCAATGTGTTTAAATTGCTTAATAATGAATGTGAATAACTTGGTTTTCACTTAAAATACATTATTTAAACGAATAAATTTCGCCTAATTTTATTTTGAAATTGAGAGCGGTGAACTTATGCAAACTTTTATTGTTACATTGCTTATTATCATTTGAGTTCCACTTAATTACTGATTCATCTAATTAGAGAATATGTTTAAGACCACCTAATTACAAAAGACACACAGTAGGTGTAGGAAGGCAAAAAAATGCATGGAATATCATTTATATGATTACTGTAACAGGCCAATAACAAACCTGACTACAATTAACGGCATACTCTTTATCAAGAATATCAGAATGACGCATATGTTTCAGTTCAGGATATGTCCAAATTAAAATGGCACGAGCTTCATCTAGACGAAGAAATACAACTGCAACTAAGGATAGAAAATATAATAAACTAGCTCCAAAGACTATTCGCCACAGTGCTGGATGTGGTCGAATAAATGGACCTAGAATGAATTGAAAAATTTATCTTTATGAATATGAACAAACATTGTTTTAAACAGAAATATTGGGTTACAAAATATAAAAAAGCAAAATAAAAAAACACTTGGCGAATACGATTGCGATAACGATTAATAATCTAACATTCTAATGAGTAAAACAAAAGTGACCAATGACAGAAAGGCAGCAATAATCATTGGAGTTCAGGTCGACTATTACGAGCAAAAATCCAGATTCATTAGTTACGTTAGTTGGCTGATAAAAGTTCTTCAGACTTTTGGGATTATGCAGAAATTAACTTTTGAAAGATATAAGAAAATAGTCACAGTCTTAAAGTATTCTCTTTGAGTTTGTTTGAGAACTCAGCCATCAAAGAATCAACCACAAGTTGATTAATATTCATGGTCACTCTTCGATTGTTACCATAACAATTAGTGTTTCTTTCAGTACAACCGAACCAACATATATAAAATCATTTAAAAAACCTAGTGATTATGCTAATCTGTTTAAAAAAACCTAAAGAAACAATGTACGAGGTTTTGAATAACCTGTTTTAAAAAGAAACTTTAGAAATTTAGGCGGCCAGTTTATAAGTTAACCTATCATCTAAATACTTCAAGTAGAGCACTTCGATGGTATTTTTTGTAATATTTAACAGTTCAGTGGTACCATAGATACCTAAAAGGTGTTTTTTCAGACAGCTTAGTGGAAACCACGGTGTAGTAATAACACCATATACGAGCGGATGGTATTTTATCACCGACAGGTTACGCTTCTAAGAAGATTTAATATACACGTGACATATGTGCAAAACGGTGGATCAATTTAAAAACCAAACAGTTGAATCATTTTAAGACTTCAAAACACTGTTGAATTAAATTTCTGGACTCATCGAGAAGGAACTGTTTTTTATGTGAATTTTTATTACTTGATCGTGAGTTAATGATTCCGTGTACAAACAGAACACAAGTCTTTGGGGATCAAAAACGTTTTGAAAGATTTCGACGATTAACCTTACGGACTATGAAAAATTGCCAAATACTATTTTCAAGTGATTGTGCTCTCCTTTCCGTAAAATAGGACAAATTATGGTTGAAGTCACAGACTTACATCTATCATTCCATAAGTGACAATTTCAACCCGGTAAACTTAAGAACAAAAGACGCATAAATCCTTTAGAGAACACATTACGATGCCTAAAGATAGAACTCTAATATACGATATATCTATCACGAGCCAATATAAATCAACTGATTTCCTTGAGCTAATTTCTTATTGTTTTGGTAAAGTACCAGAACTAATGCTATTTAAAGACAAATACTTTAACAGAAATACAAGGACTATTATTTATTAATGCATCAAGTAAAAATCAAAAGTATTCACATAAGGTATACAAAGTCTAGTTTACGTACCGTTCGGCATTATCATCACCGACATCAGCAAAAATATGACGCACACGGCTATAAAAGCATGAAACAAATTATACTGTAGTGGTTGTGAGGGGGACCTGAATTGTAAATTTTACTTAACACACTACGTACCTTGAAAAAGCAAAATAAGCCAAACATAGCCAAATGATAGCTAGTACGGTCAACGTACGGGATCTATAAAAGACTCCAATTGTGATGTCATCAACTTTTTGTTGCTCAATCAAGATATTAAAGTACTCCTTATCGACTTGAGACTCAGACAAGAGTCTCCGACGCATTTTGAACGAAGACCAAGGTCAAATGTATGTTTCAAGTTTCCACTAGGGTCGTTAAGGGATGTTCCGAAATCCAATATAACTAGCAAGTATCCAATATCCAATATTTCTTTGACGAGCTATTATAAACCAAGTGATTCCTTGACGCTCGATTCTTGTTCTTTCGGTACAGTTCCAGTTGTTTGGTAGTGTCCAATGAATGAGAGTCTAGCCACTCGACTGTCTAGTTCTAGGTTATGAGTTTGTGTGTCCCGTGATCCGAATGAATACAATTGTTTCAGGGCAGTAGGGTTTCTGGATACCAGCAGCAATCACATTACCATACAGGAGATCAGTTCGTTGCAATGTGGAAAATAATAAGGATAAAATTCTAATGCTAATAAGAAGATTTCAGAACTGAGTAAATAAATAGATCATTTAGTATATTAATTGGTAGTGAAGATTATGAGAGGAGATCGATGTGTAAGCAAGGGAGAGAAAACAGAGATGATAGGCGAGATAGATTAATTGAGTGATCTGAGGAAGTGGCAATGGTAACAACTAGCATGACTCAAGATAGGCATCAGGCACAACTGGTCCACGAGAAGAGGTAATAATCCGTGTGGGAGTAGGTGATTATCAAGTCTCTTCTTGAAGCTGTCCACTGAAGGGGCTGTGGCCACCTCGTCTGGGAGAGCATTCCAAGTTGCGACGACTCTCAATGATAAAACGTGTGCACGAATCTGAGCATTCGCTCTTTGATGGGCGATTTTTCGAGGATTCCCTTGTGGGCAGTAATGGGGATTCATCGGTAAGATGTTCACGTTGGTATGGTTTGACGTGCATAATACATTGTACGCCATGATCAGATCACAACCTATTCTCCAATAGCTCATTGTGAATAATCCCAAATGCTGGAGTTTATCTTCGTAAGTTTCATCTTTCAACCCTATCACCCGTTTTGTTGCTCGTCTTTGCACTCGATCCAAGAGATTTATGTCTCTTTTAGGCAGAGGGGGTGCGATTACGTTGTGAACCTCCAAGTGCGGGCGCGCGAATGTCTTAAATAATGTTAAGGATAATTGTGGGAAGACGGCACCAAGTTTTCTTCGCATAAAGTAAAGAGTCGCATTTGCCTTGGCCACGTCCCCTATATAATTCGATCAGGTGTGAAGGCTTCCAGGTATTTAGTAATGGTCAATAGACGATAGTCTAGCCATTTGAGTTCACTAGTTCCAGTCACTTGACAGTTATTTACGAATTTGTATATCCTGTGATTTATGTGAATGCGCTTGCTTCAAGGCACTGTCGTTTCTGGGTGCCAGCAGCCATCACATAACCATGTTGCAGATCAGTTAGTTTCTAGGTGGCGAATAATGAGGTAAAATTTCTATTGACAGTGAGATGAGGATAATTTCAGAACTAAGCACATAAATAAATTAGTTGAGGGGCTAGACTCCTGTCCATTGGAAACTTCCAAACACCTGGAACCGTTCCGAAAGAACAGGAATTGAGCACAAATTAATCGATTGTTTTATACTAGCTTTTGAAAAAGATATTGGTTATATTGAATTGGTAATGATGATTGTGCGAGGGGACAGAAGAAGGGTTGATAATGGATGATAATAAATAAGTTGGTGTGCAGAAGTGATAATGATAACAAGAACCAAGTTTCCAGACATGCATCCGGCACAGCTGGTCAAAACGGAAGAAGATAATCCGAATGTTAGTACGTGTTTATCAAGCCTAATCTTGCAGCTATCAACTGAGGAGCCTGTGGTCTCTTCGGCCGAGAGAGCATTTAGAGTTGTGACACGCCAGTGGAAATAATCCGGAGTGTTGAAGTCTGTTTTTATTAGCTATTTTCTTCGTCTTTATCACCCATTTAGTTGCTCGTCTCGATCTAAGAGATTTGTGTCTTCTTCAAGAAGAAGAGATGCGAAGATTTTGGGAACTTCAAGGTGTGCCTATTCAAAGAGTTAAGGACATTTGTGAAATGATTGCACCATTTTATCTTTGCATATATTAAAGATTAACATTAACCACGACTTCAACCCCTATGTAGTAGTTCCTGAACTCTCTCTGGTTATGAGACTGAGATCATGCTCTGTATATACATCGGTCAACACATTTCAAATGACGATGTAGATTGTTTGCGTAACATGGGAGAGCATGTTCATAACAATAATATTAATACTAATTTACTCTCAAACAACAAACGTGTTACAAGAGGCATGCCAATTTACAGGCATGATCAAAATGTTAAGATTTATGACATATTTTTTGTAAAAAGTTGTTCAATTACTGAAATATTTTCAAGATACATTGGCTTCATATAGATGGCTGAAATTTTTCACATAAAATTATGGATAATTTTCCTGACTCTGCTATGTACGATGCGAATAACTGGCGCGAGTTACAACGGTTGCGCTACAACAAACTGCTAATGACTGCGAAACGCTTCAATATAGGGCCAGGTCCAGATATAGCAAGAATTGAGAAGGTAAGTGTGCTAAGATCTGCTTGATATTCCTCAAATAATAAATTTACAGGCTCCTGGGTAAATCAAACAAGTCTTTGGCAAATATCCAGAGTAATATTTAAGGATTGGGATGAGGTGCTGAAAAAGAGAAATAACGAGAAAGAGGCAAGGAGCAGAACAGAAAATATTCATGTATAAGACCGAACAATGACTCAGCAGATACTTTTTTAATTAGAACACTAACAGTACACCTGTACATGTGTATGTTAATGAATACAAGTCACTAATAAGAAAACGAATGAGTAATTAGTCGTAGGAATAGAGGAAATTCAGAGGAACCAAATTGTTAGCAGCAATTTTGATTTACGGAACATAATAATGGGGCACAGTGATCTGATGCTTTTGTGATATTTTCTTTTTTCTTTTTCTTTTTAACTCTGTAGTTATTACTATTATTATTAATATTAAGAGAGCATTTTCCAAGCACCTCATGTCCATGGAGGATGAGTGCTAACAGATGATAACCCCTAGCAATGCTGTCCTACATGATGAACCTCAGACATATCACACACCTGTAAAGCAAAGAACTTGGGTTAAGCTGGGCACTGAACGCTTGTGACAGGCGGAAAGGAGGACCTAGCAGAAGTTGAAGGTCTTTTTGAAGGATTCCGACTAACACTCTTACTTGTCATTCAGAAACAGCTGTCGAAATGATAAGAGATACATCCGGACGAAGCTGGCTGCTAAAATACAGGCAAACCCAGAATATCTGTTCAGTTCTGTGGCTACAAGAAAATCTACAAACCAAAAAGTTTGTATTCTCAAAGGTCCGAATGGTGACGATCTGATTAATCTAGAGATGGCTCAGATCTGTAACAGCAACTTCACAGATCAGTTAGACCAGATGCCTACAAATTCAGAGTACTACTGAAACCTAGTGCCAGCTGATAGCCTGTTAAATACCTGACTCACCCCTGGCTGAGTTACAGTAAACTCAAATCCCTGAACCCAGGAAGGTCACCAAGATGTGGCAATACTCGCTTTATTGTCAGCTCCCGGTATAGGAGCTTTTCAGACGTTCACTAGGGTAACACTCAGTCCCAGCTGAGTGGAAAAAAGCTACTCTGAAACCTCTAAATGAGAAGATAGGAGGTATCCAGCCTGTTACAGGCCAGCCGCATGACTACCGAGACTGTCGAATTAAACTTAATGACTGATGAATCAACGAATGAGGGAGTATACGGATAAAAGCAATATCCTTCATGAAGACGCACACGGGTTTAGGAACTGCAGGTTATGTATATCGAATCCTCTGAAAGCAATTGACAAATGAACAACCTTCTGGGACAAGAAACCAGAGGTTCTTTTAATATTCCTTTACTTTGTAAAAGCTTTCGAAACAGTGCCTCACATACCCTTAACTGCGAAGATTGTGAAAATAAGCTTAAATGATCCACTTCTGTTTTGGTTCAGAAACTACCTTGCTAAAAGAAAGTTTCGTACCATGGTAAGTAGAGTGCATGCGAGCAAGCGAGTCGCGACATCGGAAGTTTCACAGGGGACCATCTTATTTCCACTCATCTTCCTGATACTCAATGATGACTAGTTATATAAAATTAGCTCAGCAGCATTGATGCAAACAAATGGAGGTCTATAGGAAACAAAAAGGACTCACCTTAGCTTCAAACAGACGTGACAGCAATCGAGGAATGTGCAGTAGACAGTGGATTGAAGCTCAACCTCTCGAAGTGTCACGTCAATCTGCCCACGTCTGTGTGGCAAAACATTTTGTTGGCTTACGGCTCCTTGTAGAATTCTTTTTGAATGTTTTGTGTTTTGGAAAATCCCTCCATGTTTACATATTTTTGCTATGACATGACGGACTTTCTCTGTTGACATTTTTGGTACTTTATTTTATTCCAGTTTGAGATTTTATCATTGTATATTGTTATTCTTTCTATATTTTGTACTTATATTGAAGTTTTTGTGTTTGCTTCTGAACTGTACATATATTGTTTAAATTTGATATAATATGGCTACCGCCACATTTTTGGACGGACGCAGTGGCTGCTGGACTTAGCGTCACTTATTGGTTATTGTGTCGGATACTCTGCGGAGTAACTTAACCCTGGAAGAAGTACAATTTCCGTAAGGCTTTGTATTCCCATTTTCTAACTAATACAGAGACGTTTTCTCCTAGAATTTTGTCCTTTTTTGAATTGGTTGGGACCCGGGACTAGGAAAAGCGTACAGGAGTGCTTCTATTGGAACCAATTGGGACGGCCACTGTCGAAATAAATTTACACTCCTAACGATATAGCAGGATGTAACAAATCAGTTATACTGATATTACTTTTCCTTGTTAACCTTGTCTACGACTCATGTTCGTAACCATACTCTGGTTTTGGCTTCCTACCAAAAAATCCTATTTCAAGCAGATGTGAACAAATAAGCAGAAAAAGAGCTCAATCGTAACTTCTTCAGTCATAGTAGTAGTTAATAATAATAATAATAATTTATTCTCAAATAACAAACATGTTCCAGGATACATGCCAATTTACAGGCAAGATCAAAATGTTAAGATCAGCAACATATTTCTTTTAAAAC